ATATATATATATATATATATGTGTGTGTGTATATATATGGGAAAATCAGTTTAGTATCAGTTAAAATCCCTGGTTTGAGCAACCAGTAGAAGATTGTGCGGTTCACCGAGCTGGGGAACCCAAGAAGAGCAGATTTCAGAGAGCTGATAAGGAGCTCATTTTTGGAGCGTGAAGTGCCTGTGGGAATTCCAGGTCAGGCAGGTGGCATCAGGGATTTGGAGCTCAGGAGAGGTCTGAGAGGGAGGGGGTCACCAGCAGATAGTCCTGGGCATGGATGAGCTTGCCCAGGAGTAGGTACAGATGCAGAGGAAAGAGGCCCTGGGACAGAACCCTGAGGAACTCCAGCATTTAAAGGAGGGCCAGAGGAGGGTGAAAATTCATGGGAAGCTAGGAATGGCCGGAGAGAGGAGACAAACTAGGGTAGTAATACGGAAGCCAGTTAAAGAATATGTTTCAAGATGTAGTGGCAAACTATGTTGGATGGCTCCAGAGGTGTCAAACAGGATAAAGATGAGATGTGTGTCCATTGGGTTTGGAGGCAGGGAAATTCTTGGTGACCTTGAAGGTGGAAGCTACTTGGAGATAACCCTTTGAAGAAGATTGGCTGTGAAGAGGAGGTGGCTGGAGGCGGGTGTGTTGTGAGGTTTGAACAATGTAAAATGCTGTGAGAAAGAGGTAGGATGCAGATTTGAAAAAATGAGAAGGGATAATCAAGAGGGCATCCGTGAGGGAGAAGGAGAGGAAGCTTTTGTATCAGTGGTTCATACTCAGAAATCTGGAAATGAGGGAGGAGGGCGGTGCAGGCTGAGGTGAGACAATGCAAAACCCTACTATGGGGCTGGGCACCGTGACTCACACCTGTAATCCCAGCCCTTTGGGAGGCCGAGGTGGGCAGATCACTTGAGCTCAGGAGTTCAAGACCAGCCTGGCCAACATGGTGAAACCCCAGCTCTACTACAACTACAAAAATTAGCTGGGCGTGGTGGTTTGCGCCTGTAATCCCACCTACTCAGGAGGCTGAGGCAGAAGAATTGCTTGAACCCAGGAGTTGGAGGTTGCAATGAGCCAAGATCGTCCCATTGCACTCCAGCCTAGGTGACAGAGTGAGACTCTGTCTCAACAACAACGAAAAATCCTACTATGGGCTCGTGCCCAATGATCTTGTAAGAGAAGTTTATATTTTCCCCCATTGCCATGCCCTTTGCAGTGCCCTCTGTGGGAGCAATATACGTCCTCACCCCACTTCCCTAGTACTTGGCTGTGTGGTCTTGGTCAAGTGAGTATAAGCAGATATGCCATATGCCAGGTCTGAGCAGCAGCTTTAAGAGTGAGTGTGTGGTTTTCTCTGCCTTTTGTTCTTTTGCCCTGCCATTAAAACAATGTGTCCCAAATGAGGGCAGTTACTTCAGACTGGGTCTTGTAATAAAGGCACATGAATCAGAACTGTAGCCAACACCACTACCAATGTAAACCATGAAAGAGAAATAAACCTCTGTGGGATTCTGAAGGCATTTGTTGATAATGGCAAAACTGACTAATGCAGGCATTCAACTAAATTAAAACCCTGAGATACCATTTTTTAGTCCGCAGTTTCAAAAGTTTGATAGCATACTCTGTTGCTAAGGCTGAGGATGCAGGGACTTTCATACATTGGTACAACCTTTATGGATGTAGGCAATCCCTATAAAAATTAAAAACGCAGATGTCTGTGATAACAAAGACAATAATAAGTGTTGGCAAGGTTGTGGAGAAACTGGAACCCTTATACACTGCTGATGGGAGTGTAAAATGGTCCAGTCACCTTGGAAAACAGTTTGGCAGTTCCTCAAAGGGTTATATATAGAGTTACCCTGTGACACAGCAATTCCAGCACTACTAGGTATACACTCAACAGAATTGAAAACATATGTTCACACAAAAACTTGTACACAGATGTTCACAGCAGCATTATTCATAATAGCCAAAAAGTGGAAACAACTCAAATGTCTATCAACTGATAAATGAATAGATAAAATGTGGTATATCCATATAATGAGATATTATTTGGCCATACAAAGAAATACTGGTACGTGCTGCAACTTGGATGAACCTTAAAGGCATTATGCTAAGCACAAGATGCCAGTCACAAAAGACCACATATTATATGACCCCTTTTATATGAAATGGCCAGACTAGACAAATCTATAGAAACAAAGTAGATTAGTAGTTGCCAGGGGTCGGGGAAGGGAAGAATGGGAAATGACTGCTACTGAGGGTTTTTTTTGGGTGCTGAAAATGTTCTGGCATTAGACAGTGATGATGGTTGCAACAACTTTGTGAATATATGAAAAACCACATAATTGTCCACTTTATTTTTTAATATTTATTTATTTTTGAGACAGAGTCTCACTCTGTCACCCAGGCTGGAGTGCAGTGGTGCGATCTCAGCTCACTGCAGCCTCGTTGACTGAAACGTCGTTATGTGATGCATGATGTGTGCACCACACATCATGTGTGAGATCTAGTGACTGTTGGCAGTGGATTATATTAGACCATCCCATTTTGAGGATGGTTGCTCCCTTTCCAGATTTTCTTGATCTTCTTGCCCTGTCATTTGGAGGGTCCCCCAGGCCTTGGTGTTTGCTCCCTCCTCCCATCCATCTCTCTGAATTCTCTCTCCTTTAGGGAATGGAGCCCATCACAAGGCTTCAGCTATACCCTGACTCTCAAACCTGCTTTCCATTCTAGCATCTCATCAGAGCTGTGGGCCTGACCCCCTCCCATAGGATGTATGGAAAACAGTTTGCCATCTGTAGTCCCAGAAGACCTCCACTCAGATGAGTATTTCCAAGCAATACCACTTTATTTCTATCCAGTTTCCCCTTTCTGCATCCCTGTTTCTTTGAGGGGTGCCATTATTTTTCCAGTCTCCCAGGCTTGAAATCCCAGGATCATCTTTGAGTCTTCCTTCTCCTACAACGTAGCTCCCCTAAGTGTTGAATTCAGCATAATCCAGAGAATGAGCACGCCTGCAGATTGTTCTCTCTGTCATTTCCTACCATCATCACTCTTATTCAAGTGTGGATCGCCTCTTGCCTTATTTACTGCAAGAGCCTGTTAATTCTTCTGCATCCTACTGCTATAAATTGGTCTTCTGAGAGCATCCATTGTACTACATTATTCCTTGTCACACAATCTTTAAGTGACTTCCCATTTTCTGTAGGATAAAATGTCGATTCCTTGGCCTGCCTGGCACTCATGACTCCTCATGTGCTCACAAAACTCTGCCCACCCTGCCTTCACTCCCATGCTCCCACCAGTCCTGTGTTGCCACTGACCTCAGGACAAGTCCTATTCATTTCCGCTGTAAGCTCATGGCTTTCCTCCTCTTACCCCGGAATGCTTCTCTTCCTTCCAGTCACCCACCCCATTTCTCCTGCCCTCTCTTAGGATCCATCTGCATTCCCACTGCAGGTCTTTCTCAGCCTTCAGCCTCCATCCATCTCCTTCTTTCCTGAATTCCGAGGAGACCTAGGGTCGGCATCCAGCCGTGGCCTGGTCTGTAACTGTTGCACATGTGTCTGTGTCCTCCCAGTGGGGTGAGGAGGCATTCTCAGTCCTCAGCACCATGTGGCGAACACAGTTGGTGCTCACTACAAACAGGACTCCCCGCCCAGAAGGCACAGGATCGCACTTGTTTAGCAAATGCTTCCTCAATATAACCCCTTTCCTTCCTGCTCTAGGAGAGGGCTTTAGAAAGCAGGGCAGTTCTGAAAAGACTCTGGGGGTTGGGATGCAAAAGAGGTTGGCCTCTGAGGCCTGCTTAAAGGATTTTATGTCGGCCTGCATGGTGGCTCACGCCTGTAATCCCAGCACTTTGGGAGGCTGAGGCGGGTGGATCACCTGAGGTCAGGAGTTCGAGACCAGCCTGACCAACATGGCTAACCCCTGTCTCTACTAAAAGTACTAAAATTAGTCGGGTGTGGTAGTGCACACCTGTAGTCCCAGGTACTTGGGAGGCTGAGGCAGGAGAATCTCTTGAACCTAGGAGGCAGAGGTTGCAGTGAGCCAGGACTGTGCCACTGCACTCCAGCCTGGGTAACAGAGTGAGACTCCATCTCAAAAAATAAAAAGGTGGGGGGATTTTACGTCCCTGCCTCTCAGGCGCCCTCCGCCTCAGTCTCCAGGGTCACCTGTGGCAGTTTCTCAGGCCCTTGTCTGCCCTCAAGACACCCCCATGCTGGGCCCTGGGATGCACAGTGCGGGTCCCCTCTTTTGCGCTGGCCCTCTGGTTCTCGCCACCGTGGGGTTAATGCAGCATGGGTTTTGCCTTTCATCTGATTTCCCATCTCCTTCTGTCAGCTAATGATTATTCAGGGAGCTTCACCTCACCCTGCTGTCCCTATCCCAAATCTGTCAAAGTTCTCTTTGGGGCAAAGGTCATGAGAATTATGGCCATGTGACTGCTGTTTTCACCCCACTCCCTCTGCCGTCTTGGTCCCACTGTTCTGAGGAGCTACCTTTGCACCCTGCCTCTGGCTCTCCTGAGCAGAGAGGTAAGCTTGTCTCTGCCTTAGGTGGAAATGGCCACTAGAGTCCACCTGCTCAGCACTGTCTGCCTTTTCTTTCCCTCCTGTTCCCACTGGCTTTCTCCCTGGGCACTCTCACTTGCCCTTGTCTGTGCACTGGAGGCTGAGACTGAGCTGCAGGACTTGGGCCTCAGGCCCGTTTGGAAGATGAGGCTCCTGCTGGGTAGGTCCAGGTAGGGTTCACAGGCTGAGTAGGGAATGACTCTGCTCTGCCACAGATCCTGATGGCTGACTCAGAAGCACTCCCCTCCCTTGCTGGGGACCCAGTGGCTGTGGAAGCCTTGCTCCGGGCCGTGTTTGGGGTTGTTGTGGATGAGGCCATTCAGAAAGGAACCAGTGCCTCCCAGAAGGTGAGTCCTTTCCCCCTCCTCCTTCCCATCAAGCCAGCCTCCTTTCCTTCCTTCCTTCCTCCCTCCCTCCCTCCCTCCCTCCCTCCCTCCCTCCCTTCCTTCCTTCCTTCCTTCCTTCCTTGTCTTTTTTTTTTTTTTTGACAGAGTCTCACTCTGTCGGCCAGGCTGGAGTGCAGTGGCACGATCTTGGGTCACTGCAACCTCCGTCTCCTGGGCTCAAGCAATTCTCCTGCCTCAGCCTCCCGAGTAGCTGGGATTACAGGCATGTGCCACCACGCCCGGCTAATTTTTGTATTTTTAGTAGAGATGGGTTTCACCATGTTAGCCAGGCTGGTCTTGAACTCCTGACCTCAGGTAAGCTGCCTGCCTAGGCCTCCCAAAGTGCTGAGGTTACAGGCATAAGCCACCACGCCCGGCCCAAGCCTTCTCTTTTTCTTTCCAAATCTGGCTCAGAACTTTCCTCCTTTTGATAAGGTTTCTCCCCAGAATTCATCCCTGTCCCCCCGGGTACCTCAGGGATTTACATTCTGAGTCTTACTGTGTTCACTACTCTTGCTCATTTTCAGAGTTTTACTTTGGAAATATCCCAAAGTTGTTTTTAGTGCAGATTGGCCGTGTCTCGTGTCTGTGGAGGTGTGTTTTGACAGTCAGTCCACAGGCATCCCAGGCCCCCAGCAGCCCTGGCTCTCTTCCTAGGTCTGTGAGTGGAAGGAGCCTGAGGAGCTGAAGCAGCTGCTGGATTTGGAGCTGCGGAGCCAGGGCGAGTCCCAGGAGCAGATCCTGGAGCGGTGTCGGGCTGTGATTCGCTACAGTGTCAAGACTGGTGGGCCCTGGCTTCTTTGGGAAGGAGACTTGGAAGTTTGCCCTGAACTCTACTCTGAGCTCCCTGGCGTACTGTCCTTCTCCAGGTCACCCTCGGTTCTTCAACCAGCTCTTCTCAGGGTTGGATCCCCATGCTCTGGCCGGGCGCATTATCACTGAGAGCCTCAACACCAGCCAGTGAGCATCCCACGGCCCCTCTACCATCCCACAAAGGATTGAGGTTTGCTGGAGAGGTGCCTGAGGGGTAGGGGAGGAGAATGGTTCTGCCCCCTCTCTACTGCTTCTAGGAATCCCTATCGGCAGAGAGTTTTTCCTTGTATCCTTTGGACCCCCTTTCTCCAAACTTTCTCAGGCCTCCTGACCTCTGTTTTCTCTTTCTTGCTTCCCTGGTTCTGTCACCAACTTGTTCTTCTCCTTGGACTCTTCCTTCGCTCACTGTTCATTGCCTCCTTTTTCTGACTCCTGTGCAGTTTAAGGGCCTGTCTGGGCAGTCCCTCCCCATCTTTCCTTTCTCGTCGCTCTCTCTCCTGGCAGGTACACATATGAAATCGCCCCCGTGTTTGTGCTCATGGAAGAGGAGGTGCTGAGGAAACTGCGGGCCCTGGTGGGCTGGAGCTCTGGGGATGGAATCTTCTGCCCTGGTTTGTGAGAATGAGGGGGACCTTTCTTTGCCCTTTTTATGGGTTCCTCCTTCTGCACCGTTCTCTTGCTCTAAGCATCTGGCAGGGAGGGATGATTCCTCTTTGATTCCTCTCCAGCTGGACCCAGGCCAGACCAGGGAGGAGGCTGTCTCATCCCTTCATGCTCATGTTTGTCACCATTCCCTGGGATCACTGGTCTAGTTCCTGCTGTCTCTGGATGGGTGCTGTCTCTTGGGGGCAGCCCCGGGTGTGGAGGGGTGTGGTCAAGAGGATCTGATCCTGGATCCATTCTGAGATGGCATGATCCTGGGAATTGTGGCCTCGGAGCCAGTCATACCTGCTGCTTTGATGAGCTCTTCTGGTGGAAAGGGAAGGGGAGGCAAGCTCCAGTCTTGACCCAGTGCTCCTTCCTCTTGCCACCGCCCCCTCCCTGTGACAGGTGGCTCCATCTCCAACATGTATGCTGTAAATCTGGCCCGCTATCAGCGCTACCCGGATTGCAAGCAGAGGGGCCTCCGCACACTGCCGCCCCTGGCACTATTCACATCGAAGGAGGTGGGGAAGACGCACAGGCCCAACCCTGGGCTCCTGATTCTAATCTCCAGCCAGCTAAGTAGAGACCTTCCAGGTCTTCTCCCTGCCCTCCCCACATCCTCCAAGGCCAGCCTGCCCCCAGGCAGATGTGCTTCCTTCCAGTCAAGGAGGCCAGTAACTGCTCCTGTTCACATTGCCTTCTGTTTGGGGGCAGAGGAGGGGCCGTGAGTACAGTGGACACAGTCCATACTCTTCCTACTCAAGAGTGTGGTCTGTGGACCAGCAGCATTGGTATGACCTGGGGCTTGTTAGAAATGCAGAATGTGACTGGGCGTGGTGACTCACGCCTATAATCCCAGCACTTGAGAGGCTGAGGTGGGCGGATCGCCTGAGCTCAGGAGTTTGATACCACCCTGGGAAACATGGTGAAAGCCCTTCTCTACTAAAATACAAAAAATTAGCTAGGCATAGTGGTGGGCACCTAGATTCCCAGCTGCTTAGGAGGCTGAGGCATGAGAATTTCTTGAGCCTGGGAGGTGGAGGTTGTAGTGAGCTGAGATGGCATGACTGCACTCCAGCCTGGGCAACAGAGGGAAACTCTGTCTAAAAAAAAAAAAAAAAATGCAGAATCTCGGGCCTCACCCCAGACCTCAGACCTAGTGGACCTGAACTTGCATTTTAACCAGACATCCAGGCGATTCGTATGCACGCTAACATTTGAGAAGCCCTTGTCTACAGGATCCCATCTGTTGGAGCTCACACTTGACTTTTACCTTCTCTCCCCTCCCCCATCAAGTTGTGCTAACCTGCCCTCTGCCTTCCCCCACAGTGTCACTACTCCATCCAGAAGGGAGCTGCGTTTCTGGGACTTGGCACCGACAGTGTCCGAGTAGTCAAGGCTGATGAGAGGTGAAGGTCCTTCTGCCCACATGGCTGTGACCCAGCTTGGCACAGAGTACCTTCCTGCTGCCAGAATGCTCTGGCATCAGGGACGCTGGTGGACCTCTCTCCCCTCGCTGTTCAGTAGAATTGCTGTTCCGGTCTAAGAGAGCCTGCCAGCGTCCCCCACCTCTGCCCTGAAATCTGTTTCAACCCCTGAGGGAAAAACTAGCACTGTCATCTCTGCATTGCTAACCCCACCTTACCCTGCCTTCAACAGAGAACCTGTCCCTGCTGTACCCTCTGCATTTTCTTTTTCAGAGGGAAAATGGTCCCCGAGGATCTGGAGAGGCAGATTGGTATGGCTGAGGCTGAGGTGAGTAAGTGAGGCTCGCTGGGGTGATGGAGCCTCCAACCTTCTTGGAGGGTTATAGGGGCTCTCCCTGCTCAAGGCACCCTTCATCCCTCTCATCTCCATGCCCATCTCCCCTGTGGGCTGAAGTGACTGTGGGGAACCTGGGGGTGAGGACACTACATTGCTTTCTGGGGCTCTGCCCAGACACCTATGCCGGGTTGGATTCTGAGAGGCAGGACTGAGTGAGAGCGAGTCCCAGGCAGCACCACAGGGAGGGTGCTGGGGGCCTGCACTGTAGTGTGGAAGGTTCCTGTGGGCTGCAAGGGTCTGTGCAGGGAGAGGCTGAGGAGGGGAGAGGCACTGGTGAAGGCTGTGAATAGTGGGGATGAGGGGACAGTAGCACACTCCTCCACTTTGAGGGGTATGTAACTGCTACAGCCACCTTGGAGGGCATTTTGGCACCATCTGTACAATTTTATTTATTTTTATTTTTTAATAGTTTTTGAGACAGAGTCTCACTCAGTCACCCAGGCTGGAGTGCAGTGGTGTGATTTCAAAAATAATAAATAAATAAATATAAATGTAAATTTTTTTTTTTTTTTGAGATGGAGTTTCACTCCTGTTGCCCAGGCAGGAGTGTAATGGTGCAATCT